CATTGGCCTTCTGGGGCTTCTTTTGGGGGCCTTGTGAAGGCCTTCAGGAACAATGCAATTTCTGCGTTCTTGAAGTCCTGTTGAGAGCCTCCTGCACCATCCCGGGGAGGCCATCTGGGTCCTTCTTGAAACGCTCTTGTGCTGTCTTGGGTCTCTCTTCGGCCTCTCTGATCACCGCTCTAATCGCTCGGGGTCTGCTTGCACGACCTGGCCGGTGGGCTGGCTCGGGGCACTGTCGAGCCGTCCCGGGGCCACCTTGGGCCGCGTTGGGGAGCATGGACCTGTTAAGGACCTTACGAAGACTACGTGGGCCCTCCTGGTGGCCCCCCATGGCCATTCGGGGGCATCCCATGGCTTTTCGGGGCTTATCTTGGGGGCCTTGTGAAGGCCTGTTGGGCGTTTTTGCTGGCCCTGTGGGGTTTCTTTGGACAGTCCTGTGGCCATCCAGGCCGTCTGGAGGCTCTCTCGGGAGTCTGTTGGGCCGTCCTGGGGCGATGCCAGAGCCCTTTTTGGCTGTTTTGACGATTCTAAGACCCGAACAGCGAAGATGCTGAAACTGAACATTTTCTTGAAGGAACGAAGCGAGTTCTGCGTCCTTGGAGTCCTGTTGAGGGCCTCCTGCACCGTCCCGGGGGCCTCTGGAGGCCATCTGGGTCCTTCTTTGAGCGCTCTTGTGCTGTCTTGGGTCTCTTTTCGGCCTCTCTGATCACCGCTCTGACCGCTCGGGGTCTGCTGGCAAGACCCGGCCGAGCGCCCTGGGAGGCCCGGGACGAGCCGGGTGACCTTCGACAACGATGTCCGGGGGGCCCAGAAACCCCGGATCATGGAAGTTCGTTTTTTTTTGGGGGGGCGGGGTTCCCCCCCCGGCTTGCAAAAATATAGGAAGAGGAATATGTATGCGCGCGTTGGAATGAGCTGGTAGTTCCCATAACACATCCTTTATTATGTTTGAATAGTGTGCCTCTGCAGTCGCAAATGCATGTTAATGCTTTCAGACAAGAAATCGTTTTTCTCGTTTACGTTTTGCCAATTAACGATTTGTTGTTTGTGCATTGTTTCGAATTTGTTGTCAAAATATACGGTGCGGTTAGTATATCGAGTTTCGGTCGTTGTCAAATTTTCTTAGGCGGGGGGTTACTGGTTTAGCCGAGATGTCGTTGTTATTTTCAAGGGATGGTTGCCCTTGAAGATTGGTTTATGCTGTCGTTGTTTGTCCTGCGAGATCGGTTCCAAACGTGTGTGCCTGTACGTTGTGCGAGGTGCGCGTTTTCCGAAGTACGCGCCCAGGCCCATTACAGTGATGCGCGGGGCACCGCAGCGATCGAAGTGGGGACCGCTGTTCTTCATCATGTGCCTTGCGTCCGTGTTGCAGCCTGTCTGGGAGTATTGCCAAGCAGACCGGTCGGGGCTTCAATGGTGGACGGTTCCATCCCTTTGGTGGTCTACAGCGACAACATTTATGTCCTCGAGCACAGCCTGATTGACTTCCAGAAGATCTGCAACCGCATCCGGCACGCACTCGAGCAGGCGAGGTGGCGCTTTATCACGTGGCCGCATTACTCGGACTGGCTACGCGTAGGCGGAAACGAGGTCTTATCCCTGGCCTGCAAGTGAGCAGCTGGACGGGAACGTGCCAGTGAAGGTGCTCGGAGTATATCTCTTGGTGAATGGCAGCATTGCACACGATTTCCATCGCAAGAGAGCCGTCGCGTCCGCCATGCTGGACAAGCGAAGGAATCTATGGCGTCTTCAAGGCGGGACGCGGAAACAGCGTGCCCGGTTTATACATAAAGTTCTCATGTCGCAGCTATGATCTGCCAGTGTAGACATGGAAACGCACGGAAATCTCCCAGTGGCGGGGTACATTCCACCGGGTTTTCGAGCAGCTACTCCGTTTGCCGAGGATCCTTGGGGAGTCTGACGCTTCCTATGCCCGCCGTCAGAATACCCTTGCGCGGGACACCAAGGCTAGCTCGAATTTGTTGGGCCCCGACGCAATCGTGCCCGGACGCATCTACAGTTTCATGGGGGCACGTCTGCAGGATGGCGGAGCAGGACCCAACGCGATTGACGTACAGAATTCTCCGGGACAGGGATTGCTGCCGATGCTGATCCATGAGAGACATCATTGGTCATGCAGGGCATTTGGGCAGATATGCGCCGTGGCGCCATGAGTCATTGCTTGGCAAGTTCTTTTACGCGAGCGGATTGGAATGGACGGAGATCTCCGCGGACAGGGCTGCGCGGCGACAGCACCGTGAGGAGTGGATTGAATGCATGTTGGGAAGTGTCAGGATCGAACGGGAGTGGGCACCGTGCGTTTAGTGTGCAAGTTCACGAATATGGGCTGGAGTGCCAGCTTTATGTATTCAAGAGCAGGCACGCGTCACATGTGAGCACACAGTCACCATCACCAGTATCATCATCAACATATCATATCATCACCGTCATCATCACCAGCACTACCCCGATCATCACCATCATCACGGTCATCATCGGCATCAGCCCCATCATCAACATTTTCTTTATCTTCATCATCCTCCTCACCATCACCGGCATCCTCATCATCATCATCATCATCATCATCATATTCATCATCATCATCATCATCATCATCTTCATCATCAGCAGCAGCATCAGCAGCGGCACTGTGCTTGGGGCCGTGGTCCTGCCGGCTTGTCTCGGCACAGGTTCGCCCGCGCTCGCCCATTCTCTCGCCCCGCCCCCCCTCCCCCCCTCCCCCCCCTCCCCCCAGAGCTTCGCGCCCCGCACGTTTCATATACATCCCCCTCTTCCCTCTGTCCCTCCTCCTCCTCCTTTCCCTCCTCCTGCTGCTCCTGTTCCTCCTCCGTTATATCGTCATTTATCCTCACCCTCATGTTCGCCCTCCTCATCCAGTCGGCCGCGTCCGGTCGGTCCTCCTCATTTATCCCAGTATCCCAGTCGGTACATCTCGGTCCCCTCGAACCTTCGGCCTGTACCCGTCCTCGCGTCCTCTGGTTCGACTTTTCGGTTTACGGGGCTCCTCCTCCTCCTCCTCCTCCTCCTCCTCCTCCTCCCCATCCTCCTCCTCCTCCTCCTCCTCCTCCTCCTCCTCCTCCTCCTCCTCCTCCTCCTCCTCCTCCTATCCTTATTCCTATTAGAATATACTCCTACTCCCCCCTCAGGCCGGCAGATAGGGGCCGCATCCGGGTGGTCCCATCCTAACCTGTAAAAAACAATACAAAATCAACATTTTTCTTATTTTTTCCTCTCGACATGGACGTCCTGTCGTCCACGGCGATAATCCATTGCAAAAAATACCACAAAGAGCACACGCGCGCGTTCATGTCAGAATCCTACCGAACACCGTGTGTTTGCAAGCATTTCAACATAAAAACATCAAAAACCCAATGCTTTTTCACAAAAATTGTACAAATTTCCCGCCCGGGCTCTCTTGCTGAAATCATAGGAAAACCATAGGAATCTTAAGAATTCGGTCAAATCCAGCGATTTCACGTCATCGCGCGGTGCACTCGCGATGCTCTGTCATGCACCCAGGCCGCGAATCCTGTGCAAAAAATATTACAAAGAGCACACTCGCGCGTTCATGTCAGAATCCTACCGAACACCGTGTGTTTGCAAGCATTTCAACATAAAAACATCAAAAACCTAATGCTTTTTCACAAAAATGCTTTGGGGTGTCCTGTCAGACCGTCGGGCTTCCTCCGGCCACCTCTGGCTTCCTGCGGTGTACCGGGCCATTCTCGACTCGTCTGGCAATGCGTGCGCGGCATTCAACACGCGCTCGCCAGTTCCCGTCGGCAACCGCCATCGCGGCCGCATCAGCTGTACCAAACCGGCTGGCCGGTGTGACTTCGGCCCCCAGTTGTGCCAGCTTTGCTTCTTATGTTGTGGGAGGGCGGGTGGGACTGGGCATGCCATGCTTGACTCGCTCGAGCTGGCTAGCTTGACTCCTACTCCTACTCCTACTCCTACTCCTCCTCCTCCTGAGCGCTGAGCGCTGTCAGCATGAGCGCACCCTCCGGGGATGCTGCAACGTCTTCTTGGAGTCTCCTTGGGGCCTCTTGTGGACACTCTCGAGGCCTCTGGGGGGCTTTGGGGGCCTGCTTGGGGGGAGAGGCTCGACATGTCAGTCCCCCTCTTGGACCCTTCTTAGGGCCCTTTTGGGGCTCTCCTTGACCATCTTGGGGTCCGTCTTGGGATCCCCTTGGGGGCCTCATCGGACATTTTGGGAAGATCTTTGGGGACATTGGGCCGTCGTGGACGCTGTCAAGACGGAAAAGGCGAGTATGCTTAAAATGTACATGTTGTGTCGGAGTTGGGGCGATTTGGGCCTTTGGGGCCCTCTTTGGAGTCCTCTTGGAGCTTTCTTGGCGCGTTTTGGAGGCTTCTTGAGGTTATCTCAAATGGTTTTGAGGCTTATCTGGCGCAGTGGAACCCATCTTGAGCAAGCTTAGATGGAGCCTTGGGCAGTTTGGAGGCCGCGGACTGTAGATTTGGAGGCTCCAGAGGCCCCAGGGATTCGTTTAGGAGCTCGTACCCACCCACGCCCCTCCCGCTCTAACGCGATTTGGAGGTCCAGAGGAGCGGAGCAGGGGAGGGTGACAGCCAATAATTCCACACGCCGTTGCACCCCTTGCAAGCGGGGGTCGGCGGACAACAGTTTCAAGGGTTCGTATGGTGGAAGTCCCAGGAATGGTGCTCTCGTACGACCTGGGTTTACCAGAACGCAACAGTCACGCTGACTCGCGGCGCTGAAGTCCCAGGAATGGTATTCTGGCACGATTCAAGATTACAGTCAACCCGCGTGGTAAGGCTGGGCAAAACCTTCCCAAGGGTACCTACCCTTGCATCTCTGCCCCTCCTCCTCCTCCTCCTCATCATCCTCCTCCTCCTCCTCCTCTTCCTCCTCCTCCTCCTCCTCCGCCTCCTCCTCCTCCTCCTCCTCATCATCATCATCTCTTACCCTCCTGTCTTGCCCTGCTGCTCCTGCAGAGGCGCGCGGCCCCGACGAGGTCAGCCTGGACCAGGTGCGCGCCGATCTTCTTCCCGCTCCCCGCCCCCTCCCTCTTCGTCCTCCTCCTCCTCGTCCCCCCCCCTCCTCCCTCTTCGTCCTCCCTTTTCGTCCTCCTCCTCCTCCTCCTCGTCCCTCTACGTCCTCTTCCTCCTCCGCCTCCTCCTCTTCGGCGCTGGCTCGGATAGCTCCTCCTGGGAGGTGCGAGCCCGCGCCAGGCGGCCTCTGGCCGCTGCCCTCGCGCAGCCCTCGTCTGGGCTCGCCCCGCCGCCCTGGGCCGCCGCTGCTCGGCCGCGGCGCCAGCGCAGCTGAGCGCCATGCGCCGTCCCTGCGCTCGCAGGCACGCGCCGTGCAGCAGGTGCTGCGCGGCATCGGCGCCCCTTGGGTTGCACAGGGGAGGGCCAGCTGTCCAGGCTGGGCGCTGCACTGGCCAGAGCGCTTCGTCCCCGCGCTTCTCCTGGTGTGATGGCTGGTGCGGTTCCCGCTTCCTGCAGGGCCGGGGGCAATGACAAGCACACTGGCAGTCGAGGTTGCGGCCTGCCGTTCGGCTGGCGACCCGTGGGCTGCAGGCTGCAGGCGCAGACTTGTGGGCCTCTTCTGCCGCTTCCTCGTCGACGACTTGCCGAGCCACGGGCAAGGATAACGGCAAGAGCAAGGATGCGTACGTCGCGCCTCTTGATTCGGCCGCTGAGCGCGTGGTAAAAGATGATCTTGCCTCTGAGTGCCGCGCATGTGTGCGCATTCGCCGCTTCGCCATGCAGGGCGGGCGGTCCAGTGCGCCCTGCACCGCGATTACGGGTAGCCGGTCGTTGCCATTCGTCACGCCGCCGCCGTCGTTGTCGTCGTCCGTCGTCGTTGCGCTCGTTCGTCTGTCGTCTTCGTCCCCACAGTCGCCGCTCGTCGTCGCCGTCGTGTCGGTGGCTGCTGCTTTCCGCTCTGCCTGGACCTCGCGCCCTTTCGGGGCGCGGTCGAGGCCAACCCATAATCCCAGAATCCTCCTCTCTCTCCTCCTCCTCCTCCCCTCTCCCGCCCCGCCTCCCCAGACCTCCTCGCGTCGTGATGACAGAGGAATCACGACGAAGGCCGTGGCCGTTGTCGGGCTCCTGGGGCCCTTCGGCGGGCCCTGGGGGCGTCAAACAGTTACACATTGTTCATTTCTATGTTTCTCGAAAGCTCTTTGTTTTTGGGGGGGCCGAGATCCGTTCATTTCTAATTGTTCTATCCTGGGCCTCTTCCTGGCCACTAGGGGGCCAGGAACAATTAAGAGCGAGCACAATTAGAAATGAGCACGATTAGAAATGAACGACGTGTAATGTCTCGGGACGAGGAGCTGGTCTCGGAGGGGCGGGTCGATACCTCCGAGAGCCAACGTTGTGGAAACAAGCTACGTCGGCAGAAGCATTATTGTGCCTGGTGCAGGTCGACAGGATCGAGTTTTCCATCTCAGCACGCAACATGCATGTTTTAGGAGCCCAGGCTTGAGATGATAAGATATGTCGATTGCTTCTACTCGTGCAGGTGCAGAACCACCGGCTCGAATCTGGCTTGCTGATTCGTCGGCGGCGGAGAATGACAACCGCTAGATCAATTCCTGGATTCTTGCCCGAAATGCCGCTCTCAGCCGAGCCTATTTGCCAGCCTCCTGCGTAGATCTGCAGAGCTTGCCAGGGTAGCAAATCTTGGTTTGCGGTCTTGCCCTTGAGCTCATGGATGGGGCACGCCCCTTGGACCGATTGCAAAGAATACGTTGCAATCGTTTGAAGAGGCTGATGCTGGAGACTTAAGTGAAACGCGCGCACCCCCCTGCGCCATTTGTTCGACTCAGGGAGGGGCGCTGGATGCAACGTGAGGTCGTGACACTTAAACTCTTCGGTGGCAGTAGAGGTGGTTGGTTGGAGTGGTTCCGCTTCTCAGCCAAGTGCTGCTTGCACTTCACCCAGGCTCTGTGAAGGGCAGGTGGAAGCCCGACGCCCCGAAGAGGGGGCGCCCTTGGTTTCTTGACGCTCGCCCTCTCCGTCAGACACAGCGGCGGAAATGGACGCGGAGAGCTCGCAAACGAGAACGCACTGCCTCCAGCAAGACCGACACCAACTCCGGCTGCTCGTCAGCGGAGCGGCAACATCGCCGGGAGAACCCAACGAAAGAGCCGTGGCCGTGCATCCGAGGCGACGACAGGGGCGAATAGCCCCGGGGAGAGCAATACCTGTATCCAGGTGCTCCGATAATCTATGTCTTCGAAGAGGCTCCCGGGCGAATACGTGTGATGCCCGCCCCTGGGCTGTTCGTCCCTATCGTTGCCGCCGAGTGCAGGGACGGGGAGACGGACGACCCCGGACCTCCGACGTCGCGTTGTGTTCCCGCGACGCGGGCCCTTGGAGCACTCGGCCCCGTCTCCTAGACTGGTGGGCTCACCGTTCGTCGCGGGCCGTGTTTTTTTGTTGCGCCTGGCCCCAGGGCCCGCAGCGGGCCTCCAGGTGCCCAGATCGTTGAAGAGGGCCCGTCGTGGTTTCTTTTTCCCAGCCCCTGGAGTTTTGGAGAGGACGACGACGATGACGGCGAGGTGGATGAGGAGCAGCCGTCAGCGGCCGTCCGCGCGTGCCGTATTCTGCGCCTCGCCTGCTTCCCGTCTAGGAGTTCGCTCTGCAGCGCGCGCCGCAGATCACGAGCGTAGTTCGAGGCCCTCGGTTCGACAGCACTGGATCATGGTCTGCGCTGCGCTTGGGTCAAGCGATCGGCGGTCGAATGCAAGCAGACTGTCGTGGCCCCTGGGCGGTGACCAGCCTGCCAGGAGCTCAAGGGTCAGTACGACGAGCAGGTCATCGATAACCTTTGGGACAGGATCGAGGAAGTGGTCCACGCGGCTCAGGATCAGGGGAGGAGGGAGAGAAAGAGGAGGAGGAGGAGGAGGAGGAGGAGGAGGAGGAGAAGGATGAGGACCAGTGCAAACCCAAGGCGCATCGACGATGTTGCAGTAAACCCTCCCTCCAAGATCACTCTTCACAGGTCACTACAAGAAGTTGGTTTCATTGCGGGCAGCGCCCCATTAAAAGACAGCTGCGCGAAAATCTTCACTCGTGCCAAAACATCGTTTTAGGGGCGTCGACGCCGCGAATCAACGTTGAGTGTTGCGTCATGACAGTCCTGAACCGTGCCAGAACACCATTTTGGGATTTCAACACCGCGAATCAACATCATTCTTGCGCCCTGACGACCATACATCGCGCCAGAACACAATTCCTGGAACTTCAATCCTAGGAATCTTTAGCAACGTTTTGCAACGAATGTCTGCGGCGCTAAGGTGAGAGCCACATGTAGAAAAGGAACCGCCCACCATCCTGGAAAATATTGCGATTGTAACACAAGCAGGAAAAAACAAAAAACAAAAAAAAAAAAAAAAAAAAAAAAAAAAAAAAAACGAATGTGCGCGGCGCTGAGGCGAGAGCCACATTTTGAAAACCACCTGCCCTCCATGTTTTAACTTCTGCAACCTTTTACATGAAGGGATCGGCGCGGTTCGGATCGGCCCGGTTTTGCAGCCAGTCTGATTTTCGCTGGCTGGTTCGGTTTGACACCGGTTCGGTGGGCCAGTTCGGTGCGGGGTTGGTTCCGATTCGGTTTGGGTCCCGTTTTCGCACACTTCGTTCCAGCCAGGTTGGCCCGATTCGGTTGGACAATCGGGGTCGGTTCGGTTCGCGTGGTTTATTTTCTTTCTTCGATACTCTGATTTTTCTACGCATCGATGCGTCAGTGGTCTGCGCTGCGCTGCGCAGTCTAGACTCGACACTTCCTTGGTCCAGTCTCTGCCCTGAGGTCCGAGCTTTCGAAAAAGCTGAAACATCGTAAAACATCACGACTGGAGCCGCCGGCCCCATCTTTCTGCGCCATCTCTCGAGCCGGACTCCTTTGCGCCGCTCTTCGAGCCCGAATCTAGAGCGAACACGCTTGGGTCGAACAAACTGGAACGCCAGGATCTCGGGGCCCACTGCAAGACAAAGGCCTCTCCAGTCGCTCCTCCTCTCCCTCCTCGTCCTGCCTTCCCCCTCCAAGGGGCCCAGGCGGCTCCGCGTGGGGGCGGGGCACCCCTGGCCTCCAGAGGCGCGGGCCCCCAGGGCTCCGGGGCCGATCCGGGGGGGGGGGGGGTCCCGAGCCCCAGGGGTCCAGACTCACCCCCTCTCCAGTGCGGACCACCCCTCCCCTTCGGCAAGTCGTCCCCAGCCTCCCAGGAGTCGCGGCGAGGCACCCGTCTGCGACGACGGCGGCGGCGGCGACGACGACGACGACAACGACGACGACGCCCGCCCGCCCACCCTGTCGGCTGCCTGCCCGCCTGACTGCCCGCGCGCCCGCCCGCCCGCCTAGCCTCCCGCCCGCACGCACGAAAGCCCTGCCGCGCGCCCGCGCGCTCGCCCGCGCGCCCACCCGCTCGCCTGCGCACCCACCCGCTCGGAGGGCTGGGTAGTTCGCCTGCGCGTCCGCCCAGGCGAGGAAATCCACAAGATGGACCACGGCCTGAAGCTTCGGGCCGTACAGCACTCCGCATAGCGATGGCACCAGGACTTCTAGCGTGCTTGCTGCGCCTGGCTCGTCCTCTGGCAGGCCTTGACCCAGAGGACGGCTGCATGTTTCAGGACCGCGCCAGGGGAGGCGCAGCTGGTCCTGGGGCGCGTGGAGCTGGCGCGGCGGCAGACCAAGGGCCCCCAGCCTTGTGCCCACGGTCCGCGCGCACTGGCGGCGGCCGGGCACACGCAGGCACCTCTTGGCACCGCTCGGACGTGTGCATTTTTTCTCGGCGAGGTCCATCGAGAAGCATCCTGGACCGTCGCTGGGAAAGTACACGCGCGAAATCGAAAAAATGCACGGGAAATGAACGTCCAAGCGATGGCCAGACCTACCTCAGCGCCGCGCCCAAGCGCAGGGGCGGGGGCGACCGCCAGAGCGGGGCCCAGGGAGACGCGACCGCGTGGCGGCTCCGTGCGGGCGGCCAACACCGAGACGCCGGCCTCGGGGGCGGCCAAGAGGGGGGGATGAGCAAGGAGGGGAGGATATCATGGCGGGGGCCACGAAATCTCCGCAGATTTCGTGGCGCCTCTCCATATTTCAAGACGTCCCCCGCCCTCCCCCCCCTGTGCCGCGCATTTGCCGCCGGCCACGACTTGCGCCCCCCCCCTCTTGGACGCCCCCCTTCTTCGCCGTCCCCGATGACCGCTCTGCAGGCCAGCCTGGTCAGGGGCGACGCGAGGGGCAGTCCCTCGGCCCTCGGGGCGGCGAGGTGGCGTGCTCCTAGGCGCCGGTCGTCTGCGGGCTGCGGCCGCCGCGGTCACCCACTCCAGGGGAAGGAAGGCGGGCGGGGCGGTCCACGAGACGGCTCAGTCGCACAGCACCACCGCACACGGGAGCTTCCAAGGCGAGCCGTGGCGGGGCCCCGATTCCCCACGGCTGCAGGAGTCTGGGGAAAAAGGCACGCACGCATACGCCCATCACGCACAGTGCATAGACGCACAAACATCTAGGTGGTATGGAAGCATGCACGCGCAAGCGCACGCAGACCACGACAGACCAGCACGGCAGAACATCATTCACGAGACCAGTGGGCAAAAGCGACGTTTCCCTTTCTTGTCTTGTAAGGTGTTCGCGGCTGCAGTCCGTAGCCGTTTTGGCTCATACCATTCCTGCGCAATCGGCACTTCGCGGTGATAGTTGAACATTTAACCTACACGTCATGAGCAAAGCATGTGACAAGTGCGACCGGCAATATAGTGGTTATGGAACTATTTGCAGTAAGTGCCGCTTGCTTTCAGCGCGGAAGGGCTCCCAGCTGGCCTGCGCCACGTGCGGGGAATTCTTTCACGGCTACGGTGCACATTGCGATGATTGCAAGGCGAAGGTCTCGAAATCGAGACCCAAAACTGCTCAGCAGGTTGTGGCGGCTGCACATGCGGATCGTAATCAGAGGAGCCTGCTGGCTTTCAATGGTGAGGCCACTGTGACACACATGGTCCACCAGATTGCTCACAAAATCTTTCAGGATGGCGAACGTACCAGCAATAAATACTTGATGAAGAGACTGTTCAATAAGCATGATAAGGACGGGAGCAAGAGCCTTGATATACATGAGCTAGATCGAGCTGTTCGCGAAGTAGGCTTCGCACTGCAGGAAGAGCAGCTCCAACGGATGTTTGCGGCCTTCGACATCGACCAGACCGGTGGTGTGAAGTATTGGGAATTCATACGCACGTTTGGGTGCACCGAGGACGGCACGCCGCAGTATGGAAGGGACGTTCCAGACTTGGAGCGCCAGCGGCGCGAGGCAGAGGATCGGCGGCGAGCGACGGGGGGGGAGTGAGAAGGAGGAGAAGGCCTTCGCAGAAGGCGGCGGGGCTTCTCAGAAGCACTCGCGCCTTCTGAGAAGTTTTCTTCGTCTGCCGGAAAGGCTTAGGAAACTGCTCAGAAGGCCGGGGGATTTCCGAGCCTTCTGACAAGGCCCGCCTTTTCTCATTTCTCCCCCCCCCCAGCTCGCCGCCGAGAGGAGGCCGCAGAACTGGAGCGGCGGCTGCGGCGGGAGGCAGACCTGGAGCGGCAGCGGCGCGAGGCAGAGGAGGCCGCAGAACTGGAGCGGCGGCTGCGGCGGGAGGCAGACTTGGAGCGGCAGCGGCGCGAGGCAGAGGAGGCCGCAGAGCTGGAGCGGCGGCTGCGGCGGGAGGCAGACCTGGAGCGGCAGCTGCGCGAGGCAGAGGAGGCCGCAGAGCTGGAGAAGAGGCTGCGGCGCGAAGCAGAGGCAGAGCTGGGCCCAAGGGGTAAAGTCAAGAGGATGAAATAAGAACCGCCTTGGGCTCGGAGGGGGCTCGCTGTTCCGTGGGTCAGTCCGTGATTATTCATCTGGCCCTGCTCGTGCACCCAAGGTCTGTTGGTGCCAGAGAAGGGTTTCGTTCCTCATCTAGCGCTCCTTACTGCAGCAGCTTGACTGTATCCACCCGTCCACAGACCCCCTTCCCGTGCAAAGACCCCCGCTTCAGTCCAAAGACCCCCTTTCCCTTCCAAAGGCCCCCCCGTTCCCGTCCAAAGACCCCCCTTCCCGTCCAAAGCTTTTACGCTTGGTAAACTTTGAGCGAAGCGCGTAGCGTCGTTCAACATGACTGTTATGGGTAAGCGAGAAAAAAGTCTAAGAGATAATAATGTGCAACTCAGACAAATATGGTGTGACAGAGTGCAGGAAGCGAGAAGAGAGACGAGCCAAAGTGGAAAAAATATAGGGTCACAGGGGAGCTCAGCCAGGAGGCCCTGACAGAGCAGGCACAAACAAGGATACCCCCACCCACCACCAACACATCCATTCACATACACAAGGCTCGCGATATTAGTGCCATTCAAGGACATGTGCGGGCGACTTGGGTCCGACATGTGCGCTCGTTGTGCTGCGCGGCATGTGCGGGTGTTTTTGATATCGAAGCGATGTGATCTAGTGGGTTGAGCACATTTGCGCGGCCATGTGTGGGGGCATGTGTTCTGAGTTGGTCCACCATTGTTCTGGTTCGGTCCCCGCCCTCGAGCGCTGTCTTTGACTGTACGCGCATGTGCGTGGCGTGCGCGGGAACCCCTTGTGCGCAGTAAGTACGAACAGCGTTACATACATCGGGCGATACAGTGGGTGCCCACACCGCAGCCGCCTGCCCCGGCGCTGCCCGCGCATGCCCGCACGTGACGCCGCGTATGCCCGCACATGGCACCCGTCGTAGCCGCGCGGCTACACAGGACCGCGCGCAGCCGCACATGCCCGCTCAGCTCCGCACAGCAGGCCGCGCATGGCCCCCCGCGCCCCCGCCCCGCACCTCCTCGCACATGGCCGCACACCCCGCAGCGGACGACCGCACGTGCCCGCACACGGCGCCGCTCGTGGCCGCAGAGCGGGCGCGCGGCCACGTGCGGCCGCACATGCCTGCACAGCACCTTTTTTTTGATCCGCGGGTCGAGAGCGAGCCTCTTCCGGTCGAAGCTAAGCGGGCCGCGCACAGCTTTAATGAACAGAGGAAGGAAAGCAGAAGGAGGGGCCTCACGTCAAGGCCAGGAGAGGGCGAAGCCCCGGGATACATGCCTGCACAGCGCCGCAAGGGGGAGAATGAGGAGGAGGAGGGGCCGACGGACTGTTGACCATCGTGAGCGCATGACGTGTGTACGGCGGCCGCGCTGCTTTTCTCTCGCCGAGCTGCTCTGGGGTTGCACGCGGAGCTGCCGGAGTTGGTCGCCGCGCTCGCTGCGGTGCTGCTGGGGATGCTCGTTGAGCTGGACGCCGTGCTGCTGAGGTCGGCACTGTAAGTGCTGGTGGCGCCGATGTTGATAGTTCTGAGCATCGTAGTGTTGAAGTCGGTGTTGCTGCCGGTGCTAAACGTCATAGCGCTGGAATTGCTGATGATGCTGATCATCGTAGTGCTGAGGTCGGAACTGGACGTAGCACTGCTAAGGTCGCCTTTGGACGTCGTAGTGCTGGTGGTGATGGTATTGGTAGTGCTGGAGGTGTCGGTGTTTCTGTCAATGTTGGTATTGCTGTTTGTGCTGCTCGTGCCATCCGTAGTATTGGTCGTGCCATTCATCGTATTGGCACCCACCATGCTGGTAGCACTTTTCTCGTTATCCATGCCATCCAGTTTGATGGCACTGACATTCCCATGTTATGCCGTCGCGGCATCGCTCAAAACGATGGCGGCCCGAGGTCGGCATATAACACCGATTGGTTATCGCAGGGATGTAGGAGATATGAGAGGCAAATTGGATGTGAGAGGTAAAAGATGTAAGAGGTATGTAAGGGGATGAAGGGTGAGTGCTTGCCGCGGGCGCTGCCCTGGCGGAAGGGCGCCGCACTTTTCACAACCTCTCTCAGCGGCTCGAGAGGTCATGAGCTTCCCGTCCAAAGACCATTCCTTCCCGTCCAAAGACCCTCCTCTTCCCACCACAACCCCTCGAGGTGATAGCTTCTGTAAGTGGGCACTGGCGCGTCCCGCTGGCAACGGCACGGTCTGCGGCAGTGGTGGTGCTCGGTACCACCAATACCCAGGCTGTCCTGGTCACGGCGGCTTGGCCTTGTCCGTTCGGCTGGCCCATGCAGGTCAGAATCGTTTGACCGACCCCAATCCCCATCCCCATGCCCATCCAGACCCCCACCATCTCAGCACCCCAGTTGGGGATATATGGTCCCGGGCTCCGGGCCCACGGCCCCGCCCCCCCCAGATCCCAGATGGTATGGTCCCAGGATTCCTCGGGCCCCCCCCCCAGGATGGTATGGTCCCAGAGACGACGACGACGACGACGACGACGACGACGACGACGACGACGACGACGACGACGACGACGACGGAGACGGCGACGGAGACGGCGACGGCGACGGCGACGGCGACGGCGACGGCGACAGCGACGACTACGACGACGACGACGACGACGACGACGACGACGACGACGACCACGACGACGACGACGACGGCTGCGGCGGCGACGACGCCGGCGGCGGCGGCGGCGACGACGACGATGACGACGATGACGACGGCGACGACGACGATGACGACGACGACGATGACGACGACGACGACGACGACGACGACGAGGACGACGAGGACGACGACGACGACGACGACGACGACGACGACTCTGAACCACCACAGCACCACACCACATCCACAGGGGGGGGGAGGGGGGCACCGCAGCGCAGCACCACGCCACGCCCACCTCTGAACCACCACAGCACCACACCACATCCACAGGGGGGGGGGGGGGCACCGCAGCGCAGCACCACGCCACGCCCACAGGGGGGGGCGGGGGGGACCATCGCGCGGGGGGGGGGGGGGGGCCAATGGCATCAGCATTGGGGGGGGGGGGCCCAAGCCCTGGACCATATACCCTCCGAAACCCGAAGGAAACTGCTTATATCCCCATCTAGGGGGGCAAATCGAACAATGGCGCCCAGACCACACCCATGGGGATAGGGGGTGGCTAAACGATGCTCAGCAGGGGCGGGGTGCTGGTGGAAAACAGTGGACGCGTCAAACAATAAGCCAACCTGCTGGCAGGTGTCCCATGGTCATTTCTTATCCCCCCCGTGGCCCTGGGGGCCCAGAGAAGCCTTGGGGCACCTCAGGAAGCTCAAATCTCGTCGACAAGCGTCCCCTGCGATGTCTTATGGCAAGATTTCTTGTCGTGTGCGTCTACAGTATGCTTGGACCCGAATCTGAGGCGGCAGCACGGAGAGAGCAAGAAGACAGGGAGGCAGAGGAAGCCGCGCGGATGCTACGACTGCAGAGAGAGGCGGCAGAGGCTGCACGAAGGGAGGCGGAGGCGGCGCGAAGGGAGGCCGAAGCAGCACGCAGAGCGGCCGAGGCTCAAGGCAAGAGCGGCGTCAAACTGGGTTCAGACTGCACCGACGACGATATTTTCTCGGCCATGCTTTCCCAGATGCGTTCGAAGCACATTCCAATATCAGGTGTAGCCAAGATGGTTGATCCTGACAGCAGCGGTGAGACACAAGCGCAGGGACTACATGCCGCGTTGAGGCAGTTGGATGTGGAGGTGCCAATCGACAGAGTGAGTCAATTGCTCTCCCAATACTCTTGGGATAGTCGCCCCGCAATGCCAACGGCGCAGTTCGTTGCTCTGTTGCGCAATCGTGTTGGCAGGGAGACAGAGCAGACAAGCAACGTCAACGAGGATGCGGGGAGAACGGTTTTGTTCGCGCAAGCTCGGCAATGTTTGCAGGATGAGGCCGCGCTTGACAAGCACGCGCTGGCTGCAAGATTGGCGAGGGAGGAGGCGATGGTTCAACAACTAAGAGAGGATCTCTTTCGTTCTTCAAGGAAGATGGCCAGCATGTTTGATAAGGTCGACCGCGATAATAATAAGTACATCGACTTCAGGGAATTCCAGCTTGCACTCAAGAAGGCGGGCGTGACGGCGACCGACCTGGAATCAGCGATCCTGCTAAACAGGTACGACCGCACGGGCGATGGGCTACTTGCCATGAACGAGTTCATGCGTCTGCTACAGAATTCTAAGGACATCTCAGTGCACTCCACAGAAGACCATGTATGGGGAAATGACGGGGTGTATCGAGAGTCGGTTGGGGAGCAACTCTTCTCGCGGTTAGACTACAGGCAAGAAGGATCCGTCAGCACACTTGATCTAGAGACAAGAATGCAAGATATTGGGAGCTCTGTTGGCGATATCGCTGCGTTGATGGCACATATCAAGGCTCGCGTGACCGACGGCGTGGTGACTAAATGCCAATTTCTCGAAGCTTACCTAGCAGTTCAAGATAGGAAGGTTGCTAGTGGCACACGGAGTCGTGCGAAAACGCTTGAATCAACTCTAAAAGTTCAAGACAGGGAAGTTTACAGCAGCACAAGGGTTCGTGCGAAACCGGTTGACCCAGCTCCACAAGATGAGAACAAGAAAGCTGCTAGCAGCACAAGGAGTCGTGCGAGACCGCCTGACCCAGTTCCAGAAGTTCAAGACAGGAAAGCTGGCAGCAGCACAAGGAGTCGTGCGAGACCGCTCGACCCAGCTACAGAAGCTCAAGACAAGAAAGTTTCTAGCAGCACAAGGAGTCGTGCAAGACCGCTTGACCCAGCTCAAGAAGCTCAAGACAGGAAATTCGCTAGCAGCACAAGAGTTTGTGCAAAACCGTTCGACCCAGCTCCCCGAAGCCATACTAGGCTAAAAAGTTGACGTGGCCTGCACAGTTTCAGCCACTGGGCGAGACCCACTGAGCGAAAACGTCAGATTTCCGTAGATATCATCATCAGTGGCTTCTGAGACATCAGTAGCTCGAGAGCGTGATCCTACCCAGCATGTCATGTCAGTGGCCGCAGGAAAGCGCTCGGCGACGAGCGAGGGGGGGAAGTGAGAAAGAGCAGGCCATCTCAGAAGGCGGCTGGGCTTCTCAGAAGCCCTCCGGCCTTCCGGGAAGTTGTCCGGTGCCTTCGGAGAAGGCGTGGATTTTGTTTTCAGAAGGCCGCGGGACTTCCGAGCCTTCTGAGAAGGCCAGCCACTTCCCACTTTCGGCTGCACGTGAGAGTGATCTGTCTCCAGGGTGACCCGTGGTGCGGGCACACCGGGGCCCCCAGATGGCTGAAGGCGATGCGACAGCAGTGCTTCGCGCGCTCGCACTTGGCCTCCCCGCGCCCTCCGAAAAGCGCGCACCAGAGGTCACTCCTGCCTGGGGTCACTATTGAGTGCAGCCGACTTCTCCTCCTCCTCCTCTTCCTCCTCCTCCTCTCACTTCACCTCCTCCCCAAAGGATTGGTTTCTCGTCTCGGACAGGCGTTGTGGATTGTAGGGGAGTCCGAGACAGGCCCCCGAAGGCCGAGCTTCAAGAGAAGAGCGCCGGCACGGAACACACAAAAAAACAATCCGCCGAAGGACGGTCGGCTACACGTACGAGCGACCTTTCCTTGGAGTCACCTCTGGTGCGGGCCCAGTGGGCTCCCGATCGCTGAATACGATACGATAGCAGCGGCTTGCGTGCCCGGAGGTGTCCCCAAAGGGCCCCTCGCACCAAAGGTCACTCTTGCCTAGGGTCACTCTTGCGTGTAGCTGACTGGGAGGTGGGAAGGAGGAGGGAAAGCCTACAGTCGAGGTTGATTAGTAGGTCGAGCCTGCTGCCACATCAAGGGCACCCTTGTGTCCTGTGTTTTGCGACCCATGCCTACTGCCTTCCTGTGGCAATGCGGCCATCGGACGGGTATTGTGTCCTCTCGCGTGTCCTCTCCTATCAAATTCGATTGTACCGTTTCATCCGAGGCCGTTTCACCGGGACGAGTTAATCCGAGGGTAGTTTGCCCAGACGAGTTTGCTTGGACAGTTTTTGCTCCAGACGAGTTGATCCGAAGACGAGGTCATCCAGAGACGAAATCGTCATCAGACAAGTCCATCCGGACGAGTTCGTCCAGAAGAACGTTCTACTGGATGAACTCGTCGCGAAGGAAATCGTTCAGACTGAGTTGGTCGTCCTCCAGAGGAGGGCCGAGAACAGGCTTCCGCTGTGGATTCTGACCCGCAGGGGTTCCCGCAGGCCCCCAACACGCTTCCCGATGCCTCTGGAGGCCTCGTCATCATCGTCGTCGTCTTCCTCCGCCCCCTCCTCCTCTTTCCTCCTCCCTCCTCCCCACTTCCTTCCCCATCTTCCCTCCCCCATCCGAGAAACCCCGGAAGCCATTTGAAACCTCGAATGAAACAAGCACACCCTCTTTATCCTCGTCCTCCTCACCTCTCCCCAATCCGCGGACTTACCAGAAGCGACCGAGGGCAAAACCCAGCGTTACTGGCCCGCGTGCCCCGACCCCCGCGACGGGTCAGATCTTTCTTGCCTCGCGTGGCGCGTGGGCGCAGCTCGGGGGTGGCTAAAGGTGTCCCTGGCCCGAGGTGCCCCCAGCTTTCCGCTCCATTTTGGAGCCCCTGGGGCCCTCTGGGCCTCGTGAGGGTTGCCCTGGAGGCCGTGGGGGCCTCCTTGGAAATCCTGGAGGCAGCTTGGGCCGGGGCCACATCTGGCATCACCCGAAGGACACCAAGCAGAGGGTGCAGAAGGACATCCGGACTGTGCGGCGCAAGGACTTCATCCTCTCGGCGGGCGGGTGGGGCCAGGATGGGGATGCTGAGGAGGAAAGCAGGAGGAGGACGAAGAGGAGGAGGGGGAGGAAGAGAAGGATCTCCTCCTCCCCCTCCTCATCCTCCTTCTCCTCCTCCCCCTCCTCCTCCTCCTCCTCCTCCTCCTCCTCCTCCTCCTCCATTCCTTTTCCTTATCAATAATTTTTCCCTGTCGCACCCCGAGGCCAGTTTTCAGGGCGGGCCGGGCGTTTCGCTTGAGACTTCCTTACCATGTATGATTCCGGAGCTTAAAAATTGGCAACAGCTTCACAGATAGAGGGCGTGTGGTTTTCAAAATGTGGCTCTCGCCTGAGCGCCGCGCGCATTCGTTTTAGAAATTCGCAAGAGCTTCACGGATTGAAGATAACCCGTTTCCAAAATGTGGTTCTCGCCTTAGCGCCGCGCACATTCGTTTCAAAACATGCAAGAGGTTCACGGATTGAGGGTGGTTCCTTTCCAAAATGTCTTTTTCGCCTTAGCGCCGCGTACAGTCGTTCTAAAATTTGCAAGAGTTTCACTGGTTTCCCACGATCAACGTACCAAAAATGGTGTTCCGGAAGGATTAAGGACATTGCGGGTGCAACAATTACGTTGATTCGCGGTTTTTGAAATCCCAAGAATGGCGTTCTGGCACGATCCAGGATCGTCAAGACGCAGCAGTCAGGTTGATCCGTGGCGTTGGAATCCCGAGAACAAAGTTTCGGCATGCTTCCTAGTCTTCAGACGGTTGTCTTCCAACGAGGCAGATCCTTCAATGGAAATGAACCGTTGTAGGGGCCTACGAAGAGGGAGCTTGGAGGGAGAGTGTATTCCAACCTCGTTGATGGCTCTTGGGTTTACATTGGTCCTCCTCATCATCATCATCCTCATCCTCGTCCTCCTCCTCCTCGTTCCTCCCTCCCCCCCTCCCTCTCTCCCTCCCTTCTCCTCCTCCTCCTCCTCCTCCTCCTGCTCCTCCCCCTCCTCCTCTCCTGGGCTTTCGGAAACTGTCCTCGTCGTCGCTACGGCCAGGCTCGGCTCAGAAGGCGGCCCAGATGATACCCAGGTTTGATCCGGGGACAAGTTCTGGATAGCCTTGGCCGACTCTGGAGGGAGCGTGCATGGACAATAAGTTCGAACCCTGCGGCCCAAGATACCCCCGTGCCCCCCAAAAATCAATATTGAGGGTGCGGCAATGGAGAGGGCATGGGTGGACAGAAATACTCACACACCCAACCACCACTCATGCTAAAATCAAAAATTGATATCGGGGGCCAGGGGGGATGAAGGTCCCTCTCAAGTCTGTTAGGGTTCGAATATTTTGTCCATGTACTGGAGCACGCTGTGACCGCACCCTTCGCTCCGCCCCCCCTCGGCGTCACCCCAGAATGCTAATGCTGCGTTCGTCGCCCCGCCTTCCGGGACGACGCGCGCGCCGAGAAGTCTCGTAGCACAAGCTCCGTGGAGTTTTGGATAGCTTTGGACGACTCTGGAGGGAGCACGTTGTGACCCCACCCTTCGCTCTGCCCCCCTTCGGCGTCACCCCAGAAAAAAATGCTAATACTGTGTGTGCGCCGCCCCCCCGGAACGGCGCGCGCGCGCCGAGAAGTCTTGTGGTATGAGCCCCGTGGCGGGCGCCTTCTGGCCACACCGCTCGAGAAACGATCTACTACAGTACTGTTGTGCTATATGTGTTCGGGTCGGACGCACGCCTGCCGACGACGACGACGACGACGGCGACGACGACGACGACGACGACGACGACGGCGACGACGACGACGACGACGACGACGACGACGACGACGACGACGGCGACGGCGACGGCGACGGCGACGGCGACGGCGACGGCGACGGCGACGGCGACGACCCCTGTCATCCGACGGTGTGACTTTTTTTCGTTCCGCGGTCCCAGAGCTCACAGCCCCTTCCCTGGGAGTAGTTTTTCGTCCCAGGTCCCATCTTGATGGCCCCGTGGGCCCAGAAGCGGCCCCTGGGGGCCGAACCGAAAATCCGCGACTGCAAACATCGAGTCGTCGGAGATCTGGGACTGCGGCGGCGGCGACGACGGCGAGAACGGCGACGAGCAGCACCTCGAGGAGGGACAGAACATTTCACAGAATCGCGAGCTGTCGGAGGTCCGCGCAGATCTCATGGATCGGCGCCAGGCCGCCCTCCCTGGCGCCCTGGAGGCGCCGCCGGGGAGCTCCAGCTGCAGCGCCAAGCCAAGAGATCCGCGAGGACCTCCGACAGTCTATGTTGATGTCGTGTGCTTGTTCCTCGAGCGGTGCCCCGACAGGCCGACGAGAGCGGATCACTCTGGATGGCCAGCGCCTTTCGGCGTCTCCGACGTGGCAGCTGCTTCGAGGCTGCTTCCGTGGAAGAAGACGGTTTGTTCCTCGAGCTCCAGCGCCGATCCAAGAAATCCGCGAGAGCCTCTGAAGCCTCAAGATGCAGCTCGTCGTCGTCGCCGTTGTCGCCGCCGCCGCAGTCCCAGACGTCCGACGAATGGATTTTTGCAGTCGCGGGTTCTCCTTCCATTTCGGCTCCATCTTGGGCCCCCAGGAGCCGCTTTGGGGCCCCCGGGGGCCATCAAAACGGGACCTGCGACGCAAAACTACCCCGAGGGAAGGGCTTGGGAGCAGCGGAGCCGAGCAGCGCCAGGACCTGATCATCTCGACGGGCAGGATGGCGCTGCTGACGGGCGCCATCGGGCACCAGGAGCCGCGGCGCGGCGCATCGCGCGGTCGGCGCGGGAGGACGAGGAGGAGGGGGGAGGGGGAGGAGGAGGAGGAGGAGGAGGAGGAGGAGGAGGAGGAGGAGGAGGAGGAGGAGGACGGAGCAGAAGGAGGAGGAGGAGGAGGAAGAGGAGGAGGAGGAGGAGGAGGAGGAGGAGGAGGAGGAGGAGGAGGAGGAAGGAGGAGGAGGCGGGAGGAGGGAGGAGGGACGAGAAGGGAGGAGGAGGGAGGCGAGCGGATGGAGGTAGGAGGAGGAGGGAGGAGAAGGGAGAGGAAGAGGGAGGAACTCCAGGCCTCCCAATTGAGGCCAGAGCAGACGGGGGCGGAGGACCTCGCCGCATCGCCGATGCGTCGTCCATGCGGCGCGATCCGGAATCTGATCATCTTTGTCCCGACGTCGCCGCTGCATCGACGATGCGGTGCGATCCTCCGACCCCGTGGCCCGACTCTGCCTCCATTATGGTGGCCTCCAGGAACAGGGGGTCGGGGATTCAGGCGGGCCTCGGATGATAACTTGGCCTCGCTCGGACGCGTGTGTTTTTCCTTGGGCGAGGACCATCGAGGAGCATCCTTGATGATTTGGCGAGAAAGCCTCGCGCGAAACCAAAAAAAGCACCGGGAATGGACGCCCGAGCGATGGCCAGATAATGCATCGCTGCAGAGGGCCCCGTGCCGCTCTGGCAGCGTCCGGGGGGGCGCTCCGGAACGGCCGCGGCACCCGATGCCTCCCCCAGACCCGGGGGCTCTCAGAGATCCCCGAGCTGTTCTCGTCCGAGTGCGTGTGCTCATCTCGCGTTAATTAAAGCTGTGCGAGGCCCGCTTAGCTTCGACCGGAAGAGGTGCGCCCTCGACCCGCGGATCAAAAAGTGTGTGCTCATCTTGCCGCCGCCTCAGGGAGGAGGAGCGGGAGGAGAAGTGAAGTGTGGAGGGAGAGGCCTCCGAGCTCGTCTGGAGTCCTTCGGGGAAGGGCCGATACACCACCACCAGCGGCCGGAAGGCCGGGACACAGCACAGTCACGAGCCGCCGAAAGTCCAGGATGAAACCCCGCCACCAGCAGCCGAAAGGCTAGGTTAAGATCAATAGCGTTCGTCGATCAGTCACGGGAGGCGCTTGGTGAATGCGCTACCAGCGCCTACCGAACAGCAGAACGCATACGCCATGAGGCGAAGATAATGGAGGGCCACGTGCCCAAGACACGCAAGCAGGTTGTCGAGGACCACGACGACGACTGCGGTTCCGACCTCACGGGTCTGGCCCCTAACCTCCTCGGCCTTCCAGCCTTTGGCGATCATGGCGACGCCAACGAGTGCGACGAGGACGATCTCCACGACAACCTGACAGCAGGTCTGCCAACATGGCGGTTCAGAGGCCCGTCAGCTCCTTGGTCCGAAACTGACAGAAACGATTGGCGATCAAACGCCACAGCCCACCGAGTTCAACACCATCCACCACCTCCTCACTTACCTCACTTCATTCGACTACGACACAGGCGTCATTGAGGTGTTCGGTGGAGAGGCGCGGACTAACATATTGGCTGTTCGCCGCCACCTCATAGCTGGTGAGAAATTCGACTTGGTCACCGGCTGTGACCTCAACGACGAGAGCCAGCAGCGAGCCGCGGAGAGATACTTTCGGCAACATCGGCCGCTGGTTGCCGCCATGGTTCCGACCTGCAGGGCCCTTCGGCCGTTGGGCAACCTTGAACTACAAACAGAACAATCACACCTGGATGCGCTCCTGCGAGAACGCGGCCGCACACGGCCGATTCCGCGGCGACCTCGCACAGTTGCAGCTCGAGCTATGCAGCTACTTCGTCAACGAACAGGAGGAAGACCACCATGCCTGCCTGTTTCAGACGCTCCTGAGATCTTCGAGCAATTCGCGCACCTCAGATGTCCAGGCAAACACACCCACGCCCACGTCGAGGGCCACAACAGCTTCGACAACCAGATCTGGCCATGGAAGATGGCCGAGCGACTGGTCCAGGGCATAGTAGACTTACGTCGCCTTCTGCGGCGCCCGCACCTCGCAAGCTGCCCTCGTGAGTGCGGTTTCCAATCAGTAGCCCTCCCAACAGTGGCCCCTGGATCCACGGAGGGCGAGATCAGACGCGAAGTTACAGCCGAACGCGCAAGCTACACCTGCACGGCGTACAAGCGCAACGTGCGGGCAGAGTCGCCCACGCACTCCATGGATCCGGCCACGTGCCGTTATCCTCACAGCGCCCCGATCCTCTGGGAGTGCCCCAGCTGCAAAGAGGAGAAGGCACGCCACCACCCTGTGCACAACCACGAGTTTAGCATGTGCAGGTTCGCGGATCTACACACACGGCCGAGCCCACGCGTTGGCCAGCACCCACGAGCACCATCGCGACCCAGAGGACCACGTAATTCCAGCGACCAGCAGGCTCAAGTATCCAGCGACACCGACTTCGGAGCACCAGACGAGGCTGCTCTGCCACCCGCGCATGCAGGACACTCAGGAGCCAGCTCATCATCCAGCGCTGGGGCTTAGGGCAGCGGTTCTGGCGACTGCGTCGCTCGACCACAGCTACCGGCTAGTTCAGCAACAGGCACAGTGCCCAGACGATTAGCACCACGCGTTGCCGATTCAGCTCTCTGCCACCTGACGCCCTCAGACTGCAATCGGTTCCACGTCACTATATGACTACGAGTACTTCGCGGCCACTCGCATGAGACACACGCGAGAGCTACGCAAGCTACGCCTCGGGTGGTGGCACGCCACACAGGAGGCGATGGCCCGAGCACTACGAGCAGCCAACATCCCAAGAACCAACCATCCTTGACGTCATCACCACAGTGGTCAACAACTGCATGGACGGCCGCAAGTGGATTCCAGCAGCACATCAGACCATCCGAACACTCCGCGTTCGACGCGATTCGACTAGCATGTCGCGTGCGACATCCCGTGCTAAAAGTATCGCGCGATCCTCCACCTGATCTGCTGCGCCTCACGGTGGCACAATGGCCGGGAGATCGCATCCAATCACGACTCGACGTTGCTTGTCGCCATCGACCCTTCATGGATCCCGTTGTTCGGCGCGATGAAGACGTTCATCGTGGACGGCAAGGGCGGAATGACATCGTCATATTGTGTGGAGGAGATGAAGTGGAGAGGAGTACACGTGGGTATTCGGGCTCCTCGTCAGCACGCTCGCTTCATCGAACGACGCGGCGCCTTACTGCGACTCGCACTTCACGACGCAGAAGAGCAGCTAGAGCGCGACGGCACCACGGCGAACCTCGACTCCACGCTGGCCCGCACCATCTCTGCTGACAACAGACTCACCCACACGGGCGGCGCTACATCGCGCAACGTCGTCTTCGGACGGCAGCCGCCCATGCTGCCACCACTCGAAGCCGATGAAGCGGGCGAGGTATCCAGCGCCCGCTGCACTGGTGCCGGGCGTTCTGCTGGCAGCGAAATGCAGGCCCAGCCGCGGCGGCGCATCCGAGAGATCGCGTTACACCGCATGATCGAAGCCTCATCGATCTCACGCGTCAACCGCGCCCTCTGGGCCCGCGCCACCGATTCCGGGGAGGGCGCTTCAACGTTGGCGACCAGGCGGAAACCCACCCGCCCCCGAGCACGAAGGATGCGTCGGGCTGGGCCGACCATTGGACGATAATGTCTGCGGACCCTGCTCGAAGCAAGGCGGCAGCCAAGCACCGCGAAACCGGGGCGGCACACAGACTGCAGGACACCTGGCCCTTCATCGGCGCCGTCCTCGACGACTCGGGCACTGGCATGGCGCGAGCAGGCTTGGCCTGCGCGCCGAGGACAACCTGGAGCACGTCGCACCCGGTTTCGGGGCCAGGACCTTCGGCGATTCGGAGGACGCGAAGGGCGCGCAGATCACCGAGCACACCCGACAGTGCCCCGACATCCTCGGAGCCTGGCGCCATCTGTCCTGCAAATAATTTCAGCTGCCAGACGCTCGCGCAGAACGTTTGATACGCGGCCAGAAATCGATGGGCGACTGGCAAGGCTGCACCCGCAGCTCGGCCGATCGACGCCCAGCAAATGCACCTCGACGGCGTCACGTTCGACGCCCATCATCGCATCGGCGAGCAGTGGAACCACGCTTGCACCATTCAGTTCCTCTTCGGCGGCGAACCGACGCCTGCAGCAGATGCCGGACAAGACTTAGACGGAGCGTTGGACGATCGCGTCATCAACGTTCCCGATGGGCGGCCGCAGCACTACCCAGGGAGATTAATCGTGAGTCTTGTCGGCTGCACCCGGGAAGACCGGCGGCAATTTCTCCGGCGACATTGGCAGCCCAGCACGAAGTCGGAGGCGCAGAGGACCTGGCCCGGGAGCTCGCGGAGCTGGAATGCACCGACAGTCAGAAGATCTAGACCGCTGTCGAGCACGCCGTGGTAGGCCGCAGGCCCCATGGTTGTCCCCGGCACCTCGACGCGGCACCAGCGCCAGAGCATCCACTCGCAGCGCCACCACTACCTGCGCGGGGCCTCTCTGGACGACTGCGCCACGTTAGACGAGGCGGACGAAGGAGGAACGCATGTGGAGTTTTATTTTGACCCAGGGGCGCGCGAAGCATTCCCGAGCTTCAACGAGGCAACGCCTGGCGACTGCGTCGCCAGCGCCCCCTGGACAGCCGCGCTCAATGTCACGCGGGCGCCAAGGCCGCGGCCGTCAAGCCCGACGCCGACATTCTGTCCAATAAGGAGGCGCCGAGTCTGTCAAAAGAGGTCGCAGCGCCCATCCCCGAAGAATTCACCATCTGGGTCAAGTACAAATGCTTCGAGGGGCGACTGCTCGAGGGCGCCCGAGACGCGATGGGCTCCTGGCGCGTCTTCCAGAGGGGGCACCGGAAAGGATCAAACGGCACGACTGTCAAGATCATCTGGCACCACTTGGCGCCGAGGGGCCCCAGCGACATGGGCGCCGGGGCCCTGGACACGTCGACCGGGGCAGCGAAGCGGGCGTCGCAGCGCAC